AAGCCAAACAAAACAAAGCAACAACAGCAACAAGAACAACGCCAGGCAACGAAAAAAAAATTAGAACTTTTGTACTGAAGGAAAGTGAATTTTATTTGTTCAACTTTATTACGTATACGTGCCGTTGTTCCGCCTGTGTAAATAACCAAAATGCAAAACGTGCCACGCCTCCCTGCCGCTTGCCCACAATCTACACCACCTGCTTTAACAACTCGCCTCTGATCTCTGCGCATCTAATGAAGACAACGCCGCCAGGTGCTCCTCGCACTTTTATGTTCATGCATTGCGGCCTGTTTAACGACTTGGGCAATGCCTAGCCCCGAGGAATTTATAAAAAGAAGCGAAAAGCAAGTTGGCGACGGCCGAGGAGATGAGAGAGCACACACATACAAAAACACACACACTTGCAACTCTCATATGCCTAAGCTAACAGACAGTAAATATTGTTGAAAACGGCAGTTTATTTTTGGGCCCAACATCATTCAATAGCAGGACAACACGGACAGACCGAAGCGCTGATGGAAGCAAACAGCAGCAACAAAGAGACAGCTGATTCCAGGTGCAAGCAGCTGGAAATATTGTTAAAGCCTTTTGCCAGCCGGTCAAAACGACCGCAAGTTAAATAAGAACCAAACGAGCAAAAATTCTTAAGGAGGCGCTGAGTCAAGCAGACTGGCCAATTCTCTATTTGGGAGTGTGTTTTACAGCTTGTCATGTATTTATTAAATTATTATTATCAAGGCATTTTTGTCTACTATGTGTTATTTATCAGTGTTTTTTTTTAGCCGTGTGGATACTATAGTTTTGTCACTAAATGCCTAACTTATCTGATTCCATTAAGTATATATATCCGCATCAGATCACTGTATGATCAAGACTTGAGTCTTGCACGAATAATATTTTGTAGATTCACATATTCATAGGAGATAATATGCCTTTAAAATAATATTATATATGCTTTAAAAGTATTGACGCTTGATGTCGGCCCGTCGCGAAGGCATTCAGGGAACTTATATCCCCACAAATGGAAGCACTCGTGCATTATTTCTCAAGTTTTCTCATACATTATAATAGTACATACACACACACACACACACACACACACACACACACATACACACTCACGCACACATGCATAACAGCCCGCATACACGCACATGGAGCGCGCTCATAAATAGAGGCTCGACAAAGAGTTTTCGCATATATAAACACACACATACCCACATGCTGGTATATGTGTGTGCGTGTGTTGTCCCTTTAGCGTCTTCAGCATTTAATGGCCTCATTAATTTTCTATGCTTGCCCTTAAATTATTTTACTAGACACAGGAACTGCTTACTTCCTGCGCTGCACGCTGCTCAGCGATTCCATTAACTTGACTGGCACTCCGGCAGCTGGCCCCGCCCTCTCCCCTTGCCCAGCCCCCGCAGCACTTGTCGCGTTGAGCGCACGCCAATGCCAATGCCAAATGTCTCAGTGCTCGTCCGCATTAATTTACATAAACTTAATTGTTTTATTTAATCAATAAAAATAATTAAATGCCATGTGCGTAAGTAATTAAAACAAATCGCTTATACTGCATGGCAAATTGAAATTGCATAAACATAAGCCGCCCCCTGTTGCATGCAACAAGCATAGGGCAGCGGCAGCCTAGCTGCCTACTCCTATAACACAGTCTGTTCGTATGTGTCTATGTGTGTGTGTGTGTGTGTGTGTGTACCTTTGTAATTATAGCACATCAAACATTAATCAGCAGGCAAATGCGTATGCAAAATACAAAACACATATGCATAAAATCAACGGCCAAATGATAATTTTGTTGCCAGCTCTGGGGATGCCAAATGGCAACAAAAACAACAAAAAGTAGAAGAATATTTGGGTTAGGAGAAGCCCACAAAATCCATATACCAAATTACTTTGTAAGCTGCCCGACGTTGCCCAGCAAAATTTTCAATTTTTCAGCATAATTTATGGTGCACAAAGCGTAAAAACCAAAAACCCAGCAAATCAGTGCGAGAAATTATGCAAAAATATTTTTCGACCGTGGTCAGCCAAAATCTAGCTGCGTATCTATACATCTCTATTTAGGATTGTGTATGTGTGTGTGCGTGTGTAAACGCATTATATACATACATACATGCAAAGGCAGTCCTGGGGCGCAGTCACAATTTGCAAGAGGTAAAACGATTTAGAGCCCCCAGCCCCACTCTCTTACACGCACACAAACATTTAGAGATACAAATTAAACTAATGCCACAGATAGATACATTTATATTGATCAGCAATTTAATGTAAATTATATTGTCTATTGCGTGGCTCTGCCCTATTCTGTTTGCATTTGTTATTGTGTCTCTCGGTGTGTGTGTGTGTGTGTGTGTGTGTGTGTGTGTGGGCACATTATGCAAATCAGTATCTGTAAAACTGTATCTGTTGCTTTTTATAGGCATTTGTTTTATTTTCATTTCATATGAACAACAACAACAACAGCAACAGAAGCAGACAACAAATGACTTCAAAGGCAGCTAAATTTAAAAAGCCCCTAAATGTATGCTACAAATAAACCTGCATCAATTGAATCGTGAGCATACTTTGAAATCACAGTCATATAGCGAAATAAATGAAAATGCCGCCTTTAAACTGTTCTATATGAATCGGTATTGTTAAAAAGCTATCAGATTTGTATATTTCGCTATGTAACACGGAAATTTGTGCATACCTCCAATAAATATAATCGAATAGTTAATTTTACTCAATATTTTCAAGGATGATGAATATTCTTTTGAAAGTGTGGTCGTATTTTTCATAATATGCAATAAAATATTCATCCAATTAGGCTATTCAAATATTTTTGTTTTCAAATTTATTGATTTTGCCAATAATTGCAGCAGTTAGTAGCTAGCTTTTATATTATATGGCTTTTCAGTTTCTTTAAGCTTTCAATTGCTCGTTTTCTAGACAAGTTGAAGTCGCGACTTGCAAATATATTTTCGGAGAATTCAATATATATATAAATTTATTTTTTAAAGAACCAAAAATATTCTTCAACACACCCGTTTAAGTCTTTAAGTAAACAAGGTTTCTGCACAATAACTTCTTTGCCTTCAAATACATTTAATTCCAATGTATTGATTTTGCAGAACAATATTGCTAAAAAGTAAAAGATATATACAATTCATGCGCATAAATTAATTCAATTTAATATAAGAACGCGATAGCGTCACGCGGGCTGCTGTTTTGCTCTTAATGTGGGGCTAGCGGTGTTTGACTGGCGCTGAAAAGTATGCTACAGCAGCATTTAAATACGGCGAACAAACAAGTATACGCACCGTGCGCCCAGCAAACGGCGAGATGGAGGGCGCAAGGCACTTGAAGATACCAGCCACTCCAATGTGAGCTTGGCTCATTAAAAATTCAATACAAAATACATTGACAATGCGTTGTTGCTGCTGCTGCTACTGTTGCTGTTGTTGTTGTTGTTCTCTTTAGCCCATCAGCCCGGCACGCCCCCACAACGATTACATTTCCATGCAAATCAAATTGGAAACCAGCACAAAAAGACATCGTTCAATGGGGAAAAGCCTTGACAGATAAGCCAAGATAAAGATACACAAAATTATAAAAACAATTTGCAGTCATTTGGATAGCGCAACCCGAACCCCAGTAACATAATAAAGATATACGCAATAGATATCTACGCAGTTGGCATGTTTTTCCAATATGGATAATTAGACGCGTGCCTCTGTCGCCCGGCGTCGCAATTCGAGTCGATGCGATTTGATACGATACGTTGCGATTTGTTACCCCTGGTTACCCATTGAAAATGAGTAAAACATGACATAATGGTTGGTTACCAATGTATGTTGACTCGCCGACCACTCGACTTCTTGTCTATATAGACGCTGGAGAAATATATATTTTCGTGTTTCGCGGAGCAAATGTAGCTCTATTTTCGATATCTTTCCAAATCTCCATAATATCGATAAGTTTCTAAGCTATCAAAAACACAAAGTTTCCTGGTACAGAGTATATACTTTGCCAGAAAACCTGCCTTTTTATTATCGCTTATTTATTTATTAAGCTCAACGCCCGCCTTGTCAAAGCTATTAAATAATAACAACTGCGCGTTCTCGCTATCTATAGCCTCTTTCCTAATCCCTCTCCACTGCCCCATCAACCCAACAGGTAGTCATGTTGGTGCGTGTCTGATTTGAGCCACGTGCATAAATTTATGACGTATCGATTGTTATTAATTTCAACGCCAGCCTAAACTATTTAGTCAATTTGTCAAAAAGCCCGCCACTTGTATTTCCACACTTCCACTTCCATCGCTCACACTTGCCCTCTCCCGGGCCAACTGCTGGGGCATTAAGGGGTTAATAATTCATTTGTGCAATGCGCTGCGGCCCGTACAACTTTCACTTACGTTCATCATCTGTCACACCTCATCAACACCGGTGCGTGCGCCTCCGTGCCGAGCCGCACCTCCATCGCATGCGACACAATCTCTGCCGCAATTGCTCTCTGGCAATATTGTCAATAATTATCTTCATATTTCACAGAAAAATTGTAGACAAATGTGCGACAGTTCGTTTGTATATTTGTTGACATACATATGAACAAATTGTATGTTTGTGTGTGTTAATGGACACGTGTGGACAGAGAGAACGAGAGGGAGAGAGTTTGGCAGATAGTCCTGTTGTATTGCATGCACATATTTTGTGCTTTAATTGATATTAATGAGCCTGGTTGGGGCAGCAGATAGGTAAGATCCGGCCAAAATGAGAGTATATGTTTCTCAATCAAAAAGCAGTTAACATCTACTAAAGAGATTTTCATTACCTCTGAACTAGCAATACAACCCAGTCTACATACATATCCTCAATATATAAAGTGTAATATTTATTTATAAAATCGAAGCAAAGCATTTTTAAAGCTTTCCACATTCTTTTAAAACTTATTAAAACAGAAGTGTTAACGCTTATATATTGTTTTCTTTTCAGATTACAAAATTCGGAGAACGCGTGTATTCATTATGGCATAAACTTCCAGGAGAGGAAATCATCTTCTACTCTGTATATTTTTAAGAAATATAAAACAATAAATAATCTAAAACACAACGTTTTTGCTAAATATGACTTTTTCTGACTTTTAAGCCATTCTGTTCCATTAACCTTCGCGGGTTAACCATCCCACCCTATCGGGCTTTATTTGGGCTAGATATGGTCATTTAAAGTTTTTCAACAAAATTCGTGTGGTGTGGACATAGAAGTAAAAGAAAGCATTGCATACTTTTTAGCTGCTCATTTAATTCGCTTGATCCTATTAGAGCAGGTCTTCTAATGCATACTTTTGGGCCGCCCATAAAAATAGCCATTCACAATAAGTTCATTGCAGCAATATTGATTAAATATTAAAATGGAAATATCTCGGCTAAATTCAGTCCGATTTCGGAGTGATATACCTCTTTCTACTCGTACGTATGCCGACTATCGAATGCCATCCAAAAATCCGCATTCTAAGAGACGTCCCAAAATTATCAAAAATACAGTGTAACCATCACGTTTTTTTCGAAAAATGACATGTTTCGGAAATCGAAAAATGTTGATGGCATTCTATTCTTTGGACCTCCTCGAGTATCCCCTCCCAATCTGCCCTCTATCGGGCTTTATTTGGCCGAGATATGGTCATTTAAAGTTTTTCAACAAAATTCGTGTGGTGTGGACATAGAAGTAAAAGAAAGCATTGCATACTTTTTAGCTGCTCATTTAATTCGCTTGATCCTATTAGAGCAGGTCTTCTAATGCATACTTTTGGGCCGCCCATAAAAATAGCCATTCACAATAAGTTCATTGCAGCAATATTGATTAAATATTAAAATGGAAATATCTCGGCTAAATTCAGTCCGATTTCGGAGTGATATACCTCTTTCTACTCGTACGTATGCCGACTATCGAATGCCATCCAAAAATCCGCATTCTAAGAGACGTCCCAAAATTATCAAAAATACAGTGTAACCATCACGTTATTTTCGAAAAATGACATGTTTCGGAAATCGAAAAATGTTGATGGCATTCTATTCTTTGGACCTCCTCGAGTATCCCCTCCCAATCTGCCCTCTATCGGGCTTTATTTGGCCGAGATATGGCCATTTAAAGTTTTTCAACAAAGTTCGTGTGGTTGTGGATATTGAAGTAAGAGAAAGCATTGCATACTTTTTACCTACCCATTTAATTCGCTTGATCCTATTAGAGCAAGTTTTCTAATGCATGCTTTTGGGCCGCCCATAAAAATAGCCATTCACAATAAGTTCATTGCAGCAATATTGATTAAATATTAAAATGGAAATATCTCGGCTAAATTCAGTCCAATTTCGGAGTGATATACCTCTTTCTACTCGTACGTATGCCGACTATCGAATGCCATCCAAAAATCCGCATTCTAAGAGATGACCCAAAATGATCATAAATGTAGTTTTGGAACGTCATATCTCCGCGCGGAGTTATGTCGTTTTGGAACGTCATATCTCCGCGCGGAGTTATGTCGTTTTGGAACGTCATATCTCCGCGCGGAGTTATGTCGTTTTGGAACGTCATATCTCCTCGCGGGGTTATGTCGTTTTGAAACGTCATATCTCCGCGCGGAGTTATGTCGTTTTGGAACGTCATATCTCCTCGCGGAGTTATGTCGTTTTGGAACGTCATATCTCCGCGCGGAGCTATGTCGTTTTGGAACGTCATATCTCCTCGCGGGGTTATGTCGTTTTGGAACGTCATATCTCCGCGCGGAGTTATGTCCGCGTTTTTAAAGTTTTTCAACAAAGTTCGTGTGGTTGTGTATATTGAAGTAAGAGAAAGCATTGCATACTTTTTACCTACCCATTTAATTCGCTTGATCCTATTAGAGCAGGTCTTCTAATGCATACTTTTGGGCCGCCCATAAAAATAGCCATTCACAATAAGTTCATTGCAGCAACATTGATTAAATATTAAAATGGAAATATCTCGGCAAAATTTAGTCCAATTTCGGAGTGATATACCTCTTTCTACTCGTACGCATGCCGACTATCGATTGCCATCCAAAAATCCGCATTCTAAGAGACGTCCCAAAATTATCAAAAATACAGTGTAACCATCACGTTTTTTTCGAAAAATGACATGTTTCGGAAATCGAAAAATGTTGATGGCATTCTATTCTTTGGACCTCCTCGAGTATCCCCTCCCAATCTGCCCTCTATCGGGCTTTATTTGGCCGAGATATGGCCATTTAAAGTTTTTCAACAAAGTTCGTGTGGTTGTGGATATTGAAGTAAGAGAAAGCATTGCATACTTTTTACCTATCCATTTAATTCGCTTGATCCTATTAGAGCAGGTCTTCTAATGCATACTTTTGGGCCGCCCATAAAAATAGCCATTCACAATAAGTTCATTGCAGCAATATTGATTAAATATTAAAATGGAAATATCTCGGCTAAATTTAGTCCGATTTCGGAGTGATATACCTCTTTCTACTCGTACGTATGCCGACTATCGATTGCCATCCAAAAATCCGCATTCTAAGAGATGACCCAAAATGATCAAAAATGTAGTTTTGGAACGTCATATCTCCGCGCGGAGTTATGTCGTTTTGGAACGTCATATCTCCTCGCGGGGCTATGTCGTTTTTTAACGTCATATCTCCGCGCGGAGTTATGTCGTTTTGGAACGTCATATCTCCGCGCGGAGTTATGTCGTTTTGGAACGTCATATCTCCGCGCGGAGTTATGTCGTTTTGGAACGTCATATCTCCTCGCGGGGTTATGTCGTCTTGGAACGTCATATCTCCGCGCGGAGTTATGTCGTTTTGGAACGTCATATCTCCTCGCGGGGTTATGTCGTTTTGGAAGCATTGCATACTTTTTAGCTTCCCAATTAATTCGCTTCATCCATGAGAGCAGGTCTTCTACTGCATACTTTTAGACCACCTATAAGAATAGCCATTCACAATAAGTTCATTGCAGCAACATTGACCCAATATGATCAAAAATACAGTTTTTGTCGGTATGATTCTAGTTAAAACTGGACTTAACCACGAGTCGAACGCGACCAATCTTTCCAAGATCGGACTTTATTTAGCCAAGATACGGCCATTTAAAAAAATCGGAAATATGTCATTATTTTGAAGTTTTTTCGTTTTTTTGCCATAATACTTGTCCGATTTTGGAATCTCTGCTATCGACTGGCATATCACGTTTTTTGCTAAAATCACTTTTTTCGGATATCTGAAAACTTTGATGCCGTTCTATTCTATGGACGTCCGCGAGTTAACCCTGCCAATCTGCCCTTTATTGCGCTTTATTTGGTCGAGATATGGCCATCGATTGCCATCCAAATCTTCTGCCTGAGAAATGAATATTTTAAGCTTTGTCTTATTCATTTTTTTTCCTTTATTTTATTTTATTTTATTTACAATAATTTGTATATTATCAGATTAAAGACTTCGAAATTCCAACTGATTCTGCTGACATCGACGGGTCCTTAAATGCGTATGTTTCCAGCATTTCCAGAGCCATTACCGAATGAGGTATAAGTTATATCTGCATAAAACACAATTAATAACTATTATAAGTTAAACTTATGTATGTACATTTTTTAGAAAAATTAATAATCATGTCCATAAACATAAAATTAACAATAACTATGAGTGACGCTTTAAAGGAAACAAATAAATAATATAAAATAAAAAGGCAATGTTCTGTTCTTTTTAATTAAAACGTCGTTGGTAAATTTCTACTGAAAGGTTTCAAGATTTTGATACAAAAATAAAATAAAATATTAAGGGTAATTTTGCGGACTGCGACTGTCGCTTGTCATTTAAAAATACTTATTCTAAATTTGTATGTAGGATATAAATATTTATCTACGAGTCAAAAATGCCCCTTTTTTTTAGATATGTCTATTCGCAGAATATTTTTTTTTATAGCATTTACGTAATCGATCAACATAAATACTATACTAGGAAGCTCATGCTATACACTTATATAAATATCTTTTATTAAAGCTTGTGTTTCAATCTAAACCTTTAAGAAGGTAACAGAAATGACATTGGGCATACCCGATCCAATCTGACAAGGCACACACGGTAATATGCTTAGTCAATGTAAATTAAACAAAACACACAACAAAAGTTGTAAAGTACATAACTAAGTTAATTTTGATAAGCTTATTGAATATGCACACAGGGCTCCACCAAAATATCAATCATCGGCAAACTAACAAAGTTCTCTACTTTGCTTTCAGCACACTTTAAAGGGAATTATTGATAGTATAATATTGGTATATATATAGTTTCTGTTTAAAGCAGGCATGCATATGTATATGGCATTAGTTATAAGCGTTGTTGATGCCAAGAAGGTAAAATTTAATTGCGTATACGCCTAGTACGACTGCATAGAGTTGTCATAAAGGAGCAGAATTATAAGCCCCGAGATAATTTATAACAGTGAATGTTTCGCATAGTTTGCATGGCTTTCAATCCAGCATAAAAGCATATGTGCGAGAACATCATTGATTAACCTGCCATGGCATAGATCATAAGGCGTGTTGGTTGTCTTACAGCTCTAACCTTTAAAGCACTTTGCTTGTGTGATATGCTGCTGCTTCATATTGGCCACATATCAGGGCCACACTCGCTCTCAATCCGCACACCTCCCTTCCCAACATTCATCATTATTAAGGCCTTTAATTTATGGGACCCGCAGTCGTTGTCGTTTTTTATGGTGTGTGTTTTACATTGACTATAACATTGGGCCATATACTCGCCAGGGCTCGTATGTTGTAAGTATGGCAGCTGCTGTCGCTTTTGCTGTTGCCGAGTTCAAAGTACTGCCAGGTAACTCTCGGCTTCTGCCATGTGCACACAAAATCGATAAATCTTAAAAATTCAATAACAGCCGCAGCACGCGATTCTGCTCCGGCCCAGCTCTGTCCCCCAAAAAAAGCCACCCCGTACAGCAGAGCCCAGTGTGTGGTGTGTGTGCGTACGGGCAGCGTCGGGGGACAGGGGCTGGATGGCCATTATACTCATGTACATGTCAAAATCAAAGGCGAGGGTCAATGGCAAATTGGATTGCGTCGACTTGTTGTTGTTGTACT